CGCCGCGCTCATCGCCGCGCGCGACAAATTACGATTGTTTTGACCGTCTCCCCGGGAACCACACACAATAGACCAATAATACAATATCTTTTTTGTAACTAAGGAGACCAAAAATTACATTACGTGCGTCTAGTACCTGCACCCATGATGGGCAGACTTGTTTATCTCCTCTCAGCAGAATAAATGACATCACGAAAAAAAAACCATGTTACAAAAAGTCATGCAAACGTGCAACAAAGAACGTTAAAAACTCATAACCCGCATCTCAAGAGTTGTATATCTCGCACTGGTTTTAAAGGACGCCGAGGTAATTGACTAGTATTCAGAAAAGAAAACTACTATTATTCGAGCAATTATGTAGCAAAACAACGACAGAGCTCTGGACTGACTGAGTTGGTGGGCTTAGGTAGGAAGCGCTAATCTCGAATGCATAGTTTTTGAGTCGACTTCCTTCCACGCACTGCATAAAGCAGCAGTCAACAAGTTGGTGCCAGGTTTGTGGGAGAGGACAGACACGAATTTGAATACCAAATAAACCTTTAAAGGTGATTGTAAGGGCTAAATACTAATAGGAATGCCTCTGTGACTCTGAGCAAAAGTCGAACACATGGCGCACACCATAAAGACTGACCAAGGCGAATCACTTCATTATTTAATTCTAGGACAAACTTAGCGCTATGACGATAATAATTCAGGTGGTGAATTATTCACCTGACACTGCCCCACCACTTTTTCGTAATTCAATTGAGAATCTCAATTCGGTTAAGAATTTGTCCCTAGAGGAAGTCTGACCCCCTAAAATGAGCCCTTTTGTGTAGTACCCACGGCAGGAATGCTTAATGACTGCTGTCTCCTACGACTTTTTCTTCAGATTTCGCACCAAAACGGAACTGGGCAGTGTTGAGAGTTTGCCACTCGCTGTCCGGTTTGGGAGGGGCATTTTTTCGCTTGTTCCTGTTAGAGCACATGTCACACCATTAATGAGATATCATAATGTGACATGATGAGCATTTGTCACACTGACCTGTAAATTCTCGTCAAGTTGCTAAAAAATTCCTGCTAATGCATATCTTTACAGGAATACATGGTTACAGGTTACCACAGTAGATATAGACCGTGATCGACGGAGACCAGCAAAACGCCCCCACCAAGCCAAACTGCGCCAACCCGTCTATGTTTCTGTTCAACGATAAGAAGGCGCCGAAAGGATGAGAAGATGGCGCTGAAAGGATACTCAGAAAAAGTTCGAAAGCTCAAAAACAGCTCGTAAACTTTCTCAGGTTCCCGACATATTCCGTTTCGTAACACCTTTTATCGAGTGTCCGTGATTTCCACTACAGCAGTAATCTCCACCGTAGGATGATTCGCGCTTGTTGATTCGCTTTTTATACAATAATTTATTTTGCTGTTTCTCGGGCAGGACGGACCAGTCCCCCTACAAGTATTCGGAGTTTATGTAGAATGTCCTCACCAAAGGGAAAAAAGGTATGTTTTCAAATCCACCGTTATTCCAGTTGCGGGGCCTTACCGGGTCCGGCAGAGTACAATATTTGGCAATCAGACTGCTTTCGAATATTGACATTGCCATTTTAACGACTATCGAGAAAAATTCTTGGCGCTTTTTTTGCTTTCAGTGTCTTGAGGGAGATCTGATTCGGTTAATTTTTTTCTGTTTCAGGCAGCATTGGGTGTTTGTGGTGGGCCATTGCAAGTAGAATTTTATCGGCGACACCTGAGGGGAAAATTTCACATATCACTATGGACTAGGTTGTACAGGACTATCACTGTGATTCAAATTTATGGAGACGCGCAAGAATCATGAATTATCGCTTCGCCGCGCTGCAAAAATTTGCACCACTTTGATTGGAGCATCGGATTTCATGTTATACAAGCATATGGTAAGTTTATGTATGTTTTTGGTCATTTATTAGTCTTTGTCAGCCTTTACACCTACTCAAAATCGTTCGTCATTTAGCATTGGCGCGACGTCGCAGGGACTATACTACCAGCGAATACTGATTCTCTGCCACTATACCCTCAATTAGTTAGACGATCAGCTGAGCTTACTTGTTTCTTAGTTACGGACTTTCGAACATTATGTCTATTGATTTCTATTCTTTAACTTTGTCTTTATAAATAAATGGTGCGTATTGTTAGTTTTGTGGCTGGCTCAGTCAGTGTGTCTTACTGCGCCCATCCGGAGCTGAGAGCTGTTTAGAGAGCTGTTTCACTGTCACATGTAAATTGAGCGTGAACATTCAAAACAGCTTAATGACATTAGTATGAAGGTGGTGGCGAGAGCGGTGATAGGAAAGTATAACAAAAGAAATGGTAAAATCCGTCGAAAAAGATGTACTGCCGTGATGAAATTAAGGAGTAGAACTTTAGTACGCGTTGTCGCGATTTTATGAGATCATGAAATGGTCGAGAGGAATTTGTAAGTGATAGGTGACTTGGCGGTTGAGAAAGAGAGCAGTTGAAACCATTAAAAGGGTCTTAAATGAAGTGGTAATTTTTTCTAAAAATACGTCTGAGCATTTCATAAGTACGAGAAGAATCGCGAGATGGTAAGACATTGGGAGCGCGGGTGAGTGTGCTGGCAGGAATGATGAGAGAACAAAAAAGCAAGTGAGACGATAGACACCAATAGCGTTCATCTCTGGGTGGGACCGCTACGGCTAGCGATCACATCAGCGCCCCTGTCACTCATTTTTGAGCCACAAGCGCTACACAGTCTTGTTCGCTGCGGATACTAGAAGGTATAAGGAGGTTCGGTTTGGCCGGTGCCAACCCGTTTTCTACGAACTGCTGTCGCTTGCTTGTTTCAACAATTGGTGGAGGACGCACGGCGCCGTGCTCCGCCCCCTGACACGCCCATCATCCGCAGCGAGCAAGACTGTAAAACCTCTGCGACTGGGGTACTTCGGAGAAGGGAGGGACTTTACCTGTAAGGTGTATGTTTTCAAACGAAATAAGTAAAAAATACAAGTGTAGGGATGCTTACCTGCAAGGAGTCCACCACCAGAACTAATGGCTCTATTGAACAAGTGCGACTCATTGGGAGAGATCTGAACATGTGGGACGATGATCACGTTGTCCTGAGGAGCAGCAACCTTCATGTGAGCTGAAAAAGGGATTCAAGAAGATGCGGGAGGTGTTCAGAGAGGACTACACAGGCAACATAATCTCCTAAACGAAGCATTCTAAGGAACTACTACAACTACGCAACACAGTGACCTACACATACCTTTCCTCGTGTTGATGGGGCTGTAATAAGATCATTTTAGCAAAAACACTTGACAATAAAAATTAGAAGTATAAAGTAAAGGAAAAAAGAATGAAAGGAATTGAGAAATTCATCAACAGGTCACTCACTTGTTCTGGAACTATTGCATACCGCCTGCTCAGCTGCTCTTTGTTCGGATGGATGGTTTGCGGTTCGCCATCTTCGGGCTGAAAAATGAAAATTTTGTTTTGATGACATTTTCATAAACAACTGAGCAAATCTTCAACTGAACAATTGATTGATTTTTTCCCGCCGCATGGCAGCAGAAAAAGGGCCATTTACCACTGTTTAGGGGCATGTATCAATTGTACCAGCTGCGTGCCGCGCGCGACGAAATTGCGCGCGAATCAATTTGAACGACCACCTTGTCGCTGCTCTGCACCCTCATTCAGACGTGCTATCTATTCGTGTCTGGATTCGGCACCTATTGAACAATTTGTTGTAATTTCGGGTGCATGAAAAGTGAGGCGATCACAACGCCATTGACGTGTTTTGG